TTTTTTTTCCCTGTATGTATAAAAAATATATACAAGTATGCATGTTGCATTTAAGAACGCCACTGCCACTTACTGTAGTATTACACTTTATTCTAGTATGGGGGGCGGGGGAGCATGTTCCCACCCCAAACTCTCTCCATGGTTTAACCTCCCAAGAGGTGAAAAGCTTAGTACATTTTTGGCGCCGGTCGTCGCACGTCAGCAGATGTGATGCATATTTTGAGCCACAAAAATATTTTTTAAAAAAATGAATAAAAACATTTTCTCGTCAAATGAAGAATTATATTTGAGAAAGGAACAAAAGGAAGGTGACGATGTGAAAGGAATTCATCGTCTGTCTCCCTATGTGCTGTGTAATTAACCGGCGTCCCATTTCGGGTGTTGGCAAAACTATTTCCGGGTGGTCACGGTGAAAGCAGGCAGCGACACGATATCATTCGACGCTTCTTCTTGAGTGCGGGCGAGCGTCAATCTGGCCTCCAATCTGAAACGCTGACGTGAAATGTCACCGCAGGTACGGAGACATGAGGGTGACCATGACGTACGAACTCTTCAGCATGTGGCAGAACCTTGGTAAGAAACCGCCGCCCGAGCGTTGCTCGAAGCTTCGGTTGACACCTGTTGCAAAAGCTCCTCCAATGTGCCCCAGGCGAAAACAAAAGACATTTCATCCCCGGGATGATCGGCCCGTTCTTGGGCGTCACGTTGGTGCCTCAGGCGGAAGTCCGAAACATCATGATCCCAATCTTCCACGACATGATGGACTGGGAGCAGCGTAAGAATGGAAACTTCAAACAGGTTGGCTTTAGACTTCAGACTTTCCGCCTTCACACATGTCCTTAGCGGCGAGGCAGTTTCACATTGTTTCCATAGCAACAAGGCACATACTGTATTCATCCACACGTGTTGTTTGCGTGTTTAACCCTGGGACTTGATTTGCGGGTTTTGTCGTCGTGGTCTAGGTGGAGGCCGAGCTGATCGACAAGCTGGACAGTTTGGTCTCGGAAGGAAAAGGCGACGACAACTACCGGGAACTCTTCAGTTTGCTGTAAACCGAAAGTTTGGTGTCATTAGAGGCCTAAGTTGTGTTTCTTTCAACTCATTTTCTTTTTTTTAACCTTCCTTTTTTGTGCACTACCGCTGCTGTTGTGCATTTGCTTTGTGCGACGGGGATTAGAACTCAGCTCTTTGGGCCGTACCCCAGGTATGCATGAACTAACATCTCCACTAACATCTCTTCATTTCTCCGTCTCTTCTCCCCACTTGAATTGCATTGATCAACAGAAGAATTCAAACGCATTGACAGAAAAA